AGCTTGGGCCAGAGCCATGTCTCCAGTTCCTCCCTTCTGCAGCCTGAGGTGTGTACTTAGATGCTGTTGCTGCTTCCTTCCAGCGTGCATCATCCTACTTCAGTACAAAGCTCTCAAACTCTAAGCATCGTTAAAGCCCAGAAAAGCGTTCCTGGCATCCCGGCAGGTTGTCGATGACTACACCAAGGAGGGCAGTGCCAGCATCAAGGGCCCGTTTGCCGGCGCAGCTCAGCTGTCAATCCAGTTGGATGTAGAGGAAATTTGCGTTTGCTTGTGATGGTCGCGGTGTGCTGCAGCTGTCACTTTCTTGCAGCCCGGACCATGCATCCTTGTACTTCCGTCACCGGAAGGTCCCATGGCTCACGATTGTCTACTTCGTCATTTTCTTCTGGTGCTGCACTAAGCAGTCTCTGACCAACCTACCCCCTTAGATGGCGAGGTCATCCAAGCAGCTCACAGAGCTACGTTTGGTAATGGGATGAAAACTCATCACAGAGTTGAGGCTGATCAACATCTTCGTGACCGAGGGTGGCAAGCCGGACAAGCCAATCACGCCTTGATTCTCAGGACGGGAGCTTCATTCTCGATAAAGACTGTGCATGTAGACACTGATTATATACTAGTATGATGTGCGTATGTATAAATAAATTAATATGTATATATATATATATGTACACACATATATGTATATATACATAGAGATAGAGGAGACGGCTTCGTAGCATCTTGGCCCGGCCGCTGCAGGAGACATTTCGAGGAACTGAGGGCGCAAGAAGTCGCCCAGTCAGTGACACCCTGAGATTTGTGCATAGCGGCCGTTTTTCGATACCAGGTTGTTATGTCGTGGAATTCTTAAGGCCTCACAGAGTCATGTACGATGGGCCTATGTTGGGGTGGGGCACCACGGAAGTGGACCTCTGCTAATGCACTCGCCTCAAAGCTTTGTCAACGCTTGGTAGACTTACTCTACGCATAGAGACCCTGTCCTGTAGCAAGCTGGAGATAGCTGGATCTGTTCTCTGCCATCTTCATCTTAGCCTTTATCTCAGTGTCATGAATGAAACTGGACCCGTGGCCCCGGTCACACACATGACAGTCGAACGTCATATTCAGCCGTTCAGCAAATTATTCTGAACTGTTCGCCACCCCAGCCCAGTGATGTGTGAAAACTTCAGAATGTTCCAGCGCTTTATCTGCATCTGCAGTGACGACGCAGCTGGCTCGCTCCTTTTTGGTACCTATACACTTCGCAGCAACGTGACCACTCGTGTTCGGATGGGTCCACTACCAGCTTCTTGTCGATCTGCTTGTGCTAGGTCTGCTCTGCGGAAGATAGCAGTGTCATATTCAGCCGACAGTTGCCTGGGACGAAAAAAAGTGCAAGCAGCCTGCGTAGGCGTAGGTGCAGAGTGCCTTGTGATCCTACGCTGCATTGCTTGTGCTCTGGAGCCGAAGCTCAACCTCATGCAAGATCACTCAGTAAAGTCTGTTCAAGAAACTATTCCAACTGCAGTCTTCTGGAGACTTCGCAGAGATCCCGTTGCATTCCTGGGTCAGCACTAATCCTCAGAGATAGGTGGCTTTCGTACCATGGCCCTTGCCTTCAGTGTCGGTGCTGCAGGTCCTGCTTTGGGTTCTGTGAGTTTTCGGCATTCTGGACTTAGACTGGACATGCACCGGTCGACATACCGCATGCTGAACATCGAGGCCGAATGCGAGTCCAAGTTACGAAACAGCATGTTCATGATGAGTCCGAAGATCTCGAGACATCTACGTTCTCGTGCTGAGATTCGAAGTTTTGGTGCCGGTTCTGCTGCGGAAACTGAACATCAACGAAGTCGGTCTGTACAGTGCTACAGCATCTATTTCCCGAGCTTCGCAAACACCATGAAACACCGTTCCAAGAGAGCCTTGTGTGGTCTTAGCCCGAGTCGTGAGGTTCTGCATAAGCTGTGAGGTTTTTTCTCAGCCAGACGATGAAGATGTCCGGATCTGATAAGAAGGTGCCTCCAGGCAACCCCCGGTTCACGCAGCCGGCCTGCCTCAGACGCTGCCGGCGAAGGCAACGCGGGCTCCAGTGAGGACGGGTGTGGGGAACTGTCAAGTCCTTCAGATTTGCAGACTCTGTATTTGCGCAGCGTTCTGCGCCTAATTGCGAGACGTCTTCAAGTCTTCTGTTAAGTGGAGTTATTGCAGACTCAGTGCAGCGTTGCTTGCTCAAACCCATAGGGGTCTCAGGCTGTCTCAAGTTTGATGGGCCTGACGTCCAACATCCAGAACCGTGGTGCTCCCCGTTGGCCCGTTGTCAGTCTCGGCAAGACACGGCAAGCAAAGGTGTATCGACTTTCCAAGGCAGAGCCCCTTGGGACAGTTTTCCCCCTTGCACTAGGCAGCTGCTTCCGCACCTCAAAGTTCTGCAGGCAGGGTCGTAGGGTGGCAGCTGACTGTGCGATACGGAATGTGAGTGGGTGTGCGTGGGCCAGGCAGTAGCTGATCGTAGTAGCAAGTGGACATCTGATGTTCGATTTGCCCCGACTGTTTCTTCATCAACCGGAGTTTCCATTAGGTGGTGAGGACCAGGTGTGCCGAAGACAGCCCAACAATGACAGCTTCTAGCACTCAATGTGGGGCCTTGAGCATGCAGCAGCTACACCCGCGAGCAACGCTGCTCCTCGATGCAGTGCCTTCACTCCCATCGTGCTGGCATGGTGTTGAGGTGCAGGCTTTGCAGTGACGCAATTTGCAAAACCATGCAGACAAAGCCACATTGATGGAATGCACCTCTGCACCCTCCATAACTAACCGTCCTCAGCAGGCACGACAGACCTTGTTAGAACCTCACCTCACGTGCTTTTCACAGCTGAGAAGTGCTTGGTCTGAGGAGACTCCAGCGAGTTTTGCCTTCCTCCAATCCGTCAGCTGGAGCGAACATTCTAAGTCCACCTGTTCAGTTCCGCGGCTGGCAGCAGCAGCCGCGGTGGCAGCCCTGGTGAGATCCAAGTGGGGCAAGGCCGCGTGCCATGGTGCCGAGAGCACAAGCAACAAGCTTTTGCAAAGCAAATGATAAAAAGGGAAGGGGACAATACTAGTGCTACAAAATGCACAGATAGATCAGGGCCATGTTAATCATCATTAACGAAGCAGGACAATACGATGAAACCTTCATTCAAGTAAGATGTTCAGACTATGCAGACCCTGAAGGAAAGAGGGTCCATCATAGATTCAGAGAGACACAGGCTTCCCTAAAAATCCCTGGAAGAGGTGTGCAGACACGCCAACCCCACTGCATCTGCTGCTCAGGCTCGGCAGCATCTTGCAGGGGAAGCCTCAAAGAGCATGCTGTGTCCAGTCTTTGCACTTCTCGGATGGTCGAGAGTAAGAACGGAGGAGCATCTTGTTTCGACTGCTGTCAGAGAGCCTCTAGACTCTAGACTTCTCGTGCTATCAGATGCTGTGGCTGGGTGTGATTCCTTGGCTCATGGATCAGGTGCCTGTGCAGCCTGCTTGGAAGGCAGTGGATGGTTGGTGCTGTCGTGCGCTTCGGTTGCGCGTTCGGAGCTGGAGCACGCAGGGCACGCCGCCGCGGCAGTCTTCGCTGCCCTTTCGCCCAAGTCCCAGCATAAGCTCATCAGTCCAAAGAAGTCAGATCTTCCAATATCCCTTAACTACGGAATATATCTTAAACTACAGCCGGATCCCTACAATGATTTGAGGTATATTCCTCAAGGGATTCTAGAAGATCTGCTTAACTTTGAGTCTGCGAGTGCCAGTATCCCACTGCTTCAGGGCCAGATGGGCGCATAAACTACGAGTCCATCGACCAGAGCCCAGTGCTCGCAGCTCAGTAAGGTCTTCAGAGATATGCCCAAGTGTCACGTCACGCGTCGTGTTCGACTTCAGCGTAAGCCACTGCTTGCAAAAGGACCGCAGCTGACGACGCAACTTGCTACTGGTACTTGTACTAACATGTCACTGGCCCTACCACTGGTAGGCAGAATGATGTCTGTACTGCTCACACATGCAATAAACACGGTAAGCAGTCGAACAGCAGCAGGGAGTGATTCTGATGGCTATGTTAGTGATCGTAAGAGTATGCATGAGTAGCTGGTCAGGACACCAAAAGGCGACTTCCGCGACCGATCATAATATAAATCGGCATGACCAGTTTAGCAGTACGAACACTACTCACAACCGTCATAAGGATGGTGCCAGCAGCAACAGCACATTTCTAGTGCTGCTGAAACGTCTGTGCTGCTGCATCCACGAGTGCGGCACAGCTGCATCCACCACGGCTACTACATCGGCGTCGCTGCCAAAATTTAGGATGACGACGGTGACGGCGGCGAGGAGGACGACTGGGACTACACGACGACAACCAACTGCTCCTGCTGCACCATCATCATCATCACCATTATTATTGTTATTATCATCATCATCATCACCATCATCATCATCATTATCAGTACCACCACCATCATCATTGCCATCATCATCATCATCATCATCACCATCACCAGTACCATCATCATCATCATCATCATGATTCTCACCATGGCCATCTGTTCAACAGCCAGTCGTCCCGAAAAAGCCTTCCCCTACCAAAAGCATCAGTCACTTCATTCTCAAAGCTTGATGCAGAGTGTAACTTGAGAGCAACGATTGGCGCGAAGCCGAGGTCGCAGGTGCTCATGGGCACAGTCAGGCACCTCCTGGCTAAGTCAGCTGGTCACGACAGCCCAACACCAGGAGAGCTGGGCCAATTGCCGTGGTCCGTCTTGGCGTGTGAAATATCGAACCGGAAGGTTTTGAGGCCTCGGGACTGGCAAAGATGACATGTATTCCGGCCAGCTTTTGAGAGATCACCGTGCACCAATTATGCAAAAGAAACCCTTGAACTGCTTGGTTTTACCGGCCCGTCTCGTTGCGCCTGAAGGATACGATGGAGTGGGGCCCTGAGGCGTTGAGGCTGTTGGGATCCGATTGGCCAAGCTCCTTCCAAGGTCATGGAGCTGGTGCGAGAAGTGAACGACATGGAGGCCAGTGCGCCGTAGTTTTGAGTGCTCTTCTTGTTGGCATCCATGGTCAGGGCACGGCGCAGGAGTTGCAAGTGCGAGCCTGGGGCCCAAGAAGCTGTCATTTTGCCAGCGGCCAGCGGGCTTCTGACGCGAACGGCGAGATTGCCTCGCAGAATGGCTCTTTCCGATTGTGTCCGAAGGTTGGACGCACACATCTCGTAGGATGTCTTCAAAGTGCTCGAAGGCCCGGAAAGTCTTCGAAGGCATTCTGTCCCGATCTCAGCATGCCTGGGACAGACCTGAGCTGAACAACTAGACTCCGCAGTCTCAGAGGATGAGTTGTGAGAACTCGGCAGTGGAGTGGTCTAGTGGTGTAGCAGGCATAGCCAAGGCTTTGTAGTCTCGATCCACGAAGATGCAGCCATTGGCCTAGCGCAAGGCCGAACCTTTTCATCGGCTGGATTCCACCTCTCTGGAAGAAGTGCCTTCACTGGAAAGGGGTAGGTCACAGAAGCCAAGAAGCACGGCAAAATCGGCCAGGTATTTCCAGCCCAATGCACCTCAGTGGCTCAGCAACTATTCCTTCTTCCTCGCCGGGGGCCCAACGGAGATATTCTTCTGTCTGGAGACATCGTCGACCCTCTTGCACGGCAGGTTTTCTACTTGCTCTTCCCGTGGCTCATGGGGTGCAGATCTCAGAGCACCATAAATCAGATCCAAAGACCTCAATCCGTTGAAAAGCCTAATACAGGACAAAGGTATCGGAGCGTCGCGTCATAGCCGAAATGAGGCCCATGGAAGGGGATGACCACGTGGATGTCGAGGCCTGGCTGTCTCGCGTTGCGTTTGGGGTAGGGGTTCAGCGGTTCGAGGGTTTACGGGTTTTAGGGGTTAAGGGCTTTAGTGGTTTAGGGGTTCGAGGGTTTAGTGGTTTTAGGGTTTGGGGTACACTGACCATAGACTAGAGAGCAGATAGCAAAGAGACGACAATTTTCTACATAGACGGACGGCAGGTTGCGCAGTTTAGTGTCACTCATACATACAAGCAAGCTTTACAAGCCAAATCAGCATTAAGTAGGACAGTGGATAAACGATGAATAGATTACACGTGAATCCTCATTAAGTGGATGCATATGTAACTAAACGAACGAACGTAGATCGATACTCAGACCTGCATCGCCAACCACACATAATTATACATGTACAGACATCCATCCATCCGTCAATCCATGCATGCATCCATCCGTGCATACAGCTGCAGACATATACATATATATATATACACATGTATATACATACATTGAATGTCATGCCAGTATGTTCCCACATCGTATAGTACAGTGCAGTATGGTATAGTATGGTGCTGTATAGTACAGTATATATATAGAAATAACAGTATAGATAGCAGAAGATTATAGTATGGAATAGTATATAGTATAGTATAGTAGAGTATGATATATAGTAGAGTGGAGTAGAGTAGAGTAGAGTAGAGTAGAGTATAGTGTAGCCTATTACAATGCTAGTCACAATACGGTATAGTATATAGCATAGTACAGTACAGTATAGCATAATAAGGTGCCCTATAGCACAATATAGTATCGCAACTTATAATACAGTGTAGTGCAGTGTGGTGTAGCGTGCTGAAGTTTAGTATAGGGTGGTAAACATTGATACATTAATCCAAAATCAGGCAGCACACTACAACAAAGTGTAGCAATGTAGTGTTGTGGGCTGCCATGGCTTGGTATACTGCTACATAGTGTACTATGTATTGTTATGACTGGTATTCTATAACACGATATGCGATCCTGTACTAGGTTATGCCATGCTTGAATATGGTTTGAGATGACATGATGATAAGGTGTGATTTGATATGACTTGTTTTGGTTTGGTACGAAAAGATAGGATATGATTTTGTCATGATATGGTATGGTATTACGATATGGTTATGACATGATCTGTGCATGTGCATGTAAGTCTCTGAGCCGATCGCTGTGAGGTCCCTCAGAGCTGGCGAAGCGTTTTGTCTCGGCCTCGGAAGTGGCCTGTACCTGACTGTACCTCCGAGACTGATTCAAGCAAGATGAGGGGCGTTGGTTTCGGCTTGTTGTGGTGAGTTGTGGTGAGTTGAATAGACTGTGTCCCAATCATCACTTCTTCGGGACCTACGTGGTGTCTGAGAGCGCTACAGTATGTTGCCAAGAGCACCGTAGCAGATTGGACCCAAAGGGCACTTCCAGGTGCCAAACCAAGCTCACAATTCGCGATTGTGGGTGGGACTCTGGCATGAAAGCGAAGTGGCAACTGGCACCCTCGCACAGCAAACAGTGACATGGCGAGCGGCCTATAGCCAGAGCACGATTGCCGACCTCTTTGGATGCACTTCGTGTGGCTTTCCTTTCAAGAGGGACTGGCAGAAGACTTGGAGTTCAAACTTTGCTCTGCAAGTACTGCCAGAGCCACAGAACCTGTCGTAAAGAACCAGACCAATGCAGCATGTCATCGATTCTGACCACTGCAAGGCCTTTCTTGCCTGAGTCAGTGCCAGGGGCTCGGCCTTCATCTTCTGCAACATCCAGTAAGTCTCTTCCGAGAGGGTGGGGGCCACTCTCCAGACTCTCCCAAGAATCTGTCAGCTTCGCCTAACTTGAGCCTCCCTAAGGCGGGTTCCGCAGACGGTCAAGGCAGAGAGGTGCCGATTCTTGGAGAGTGCGCTGAGCCCTCAGAGCCACTCTCGCAAGCGAGGGCATTTCGGGCGCCGGAGATCTGGGTAGCTACAGGGTGGAGCCAGTGAAGGGTGGAGCCCTTGATGCAAGCTGAAAAGCACTCTAGAAAAAGAGAAGTTTAGCAGCCTCGATTTGTTGGCCTGTTCACCCCATGCAGCTTTTTCAACACAAGTTGCTCGCAACTCGCTTACGCCATGGGCAACTCTGTTGCTTGAAGTCTTTCCCCGGTAGGTAACCACATGAAGATGATAGCCTGCGGGTCCTTTCTCTTGAACTTTCCCAATAGGCTTTCCTTTGCAGCTGCAGCCACAAGTAATGGGTTCTTGCATAGTGCAATGTATAGCCGGACCCGAAGTTTATTTCTGACCCGAAGTTTATTATGTATAGAGGAGCATAACATTGGAGAAATAGTATGCGTACACGAGTAATTGCCCAGATTCTTTTTAAATAGCTACTTGTGTAGCATAAGTAAAGCGTGCGGTACGCAAGGATACGTTTTATAGGTTCGAATATAGAACCAACAGCATGTAGTACATCCTGCACCGTATCTTTTGCTTGATACAGAGCAAGGCGCGGCATGCCATGACATGGCAAAATGCATAAAGCAACATCATCGTATGTACATCTGTATACATCAAGGTATACAACAGAATACAATACAGGATGCCGGCACATGCGACTACCGGTTACTATACTATACTCACATGTTGGAGTTGCGTTTTGTGATGTATGTATGTGCATATGGATGGATGGATGGATGGATGGATGGATGGATGGATGCATGGATGGATGCATGGATGGATGGATGGATGGATCTGGACGGTATGTCGGTACGTAGGTATGTGTCCGTCCGACTCAGGAACTGTGCTTCCGTCTGCGTGAACACTTGCAAGGCCGTTAGGATAGGCTTTTGTTCAGTCATGGAGCTTGGGACTAGGCTGCTGCTCACGGAATTCCTAGGCCCATGTCTTGAGACACGTCGGCTTCGAAATAACATGGTCAGGGAGGAACTCCGCTCTCAGACGCATGAGCCAGGTACCCTCGCAGGGGTGGTTGACTGACGACTTCGGAATGAAGCTGCATATCCAGCAGCCGCCCTGGGTCAGGGCATCTTCCGCAGGATTCTCACGAGGTTGCCCTGACAGGGATCCCTGTATGGAAGACTGACGACGATGTGGCGCAGTCTGCTGGCGAAGTCAATCCGAAAGATTCGTCGTCGCTGTAGTCAGGATCTGTCGCATTTCGTCTACAGAGCTATGAGCTTCCATCTTACACATACATAAAACAAGCTGAGCATAATGATACAAAGACACATGAATGTAGACACACATCTACAAATACATATAACAATAGCATACAATAGCAATATGCGTACATAAGTAAGGAAACGAACAGAATGCATAGCCAGATAGATAAACAAACTCATGAGTATGATAGGTGCTCGCCTCCCCTCTCTCTCTCTCTCTTTCTTTGGGTTGGTTGTCCAATTCACCTGTATGCAAACATGTTCATACATATGCTTTGCCTGCACCCGTGCATAGCCTGTGCATGTGTGTGCATGTGCATACATGTACGTCTGCCATGTATATGCTCTTACATACATTTACACACCTCTACACCTGTGTGCACACATGTAAATACAGGGATAGCGCGACAGCAGTATGTTGACTTGCGACCAAGGCATCATTACATGGGGCGTTTCATGCACACTCTGTATCTGCGTGTGCAGGCAGGCAGGAACAAAATGGCTGATGATATAAATCCTGCATTACCCATAATACGGAATATACCATAATTCCCATAGTTTAGGGTGCTTAAGGTAATGCAGGATTTGTATCATCAGCAGTTGTCCTGTAGGTCTACACGGGCCAAAGAGGACTCTGCAGATGCCTGGCCCAGGCCGAACTACGACGATTTCAGTTGCCGCTGGAAGTTCGGAGTGGAGGCCGCTTCGTGGGTTTAGGGTTTAGGGTTTAGGGGTTTAGGGTTTAGGGTTTAGGGGTTCCGGGGCCCTCCCGTGCTCTCATTTGGGTCTCAGGCTCTTTGGGGGATAGTCATTCGAGTGATTCTGGTGGCCCTGGCGAGTACCATGGGAACTCCAAACCTACGTAAAAGTTGTTCAGTCCTCGTGTCACCAGGCGCCGCCTTTGGAGGAGGATGAGGCTGTGATGGTGCCGAGCTCAGAGCACAAGATGCCGAACACTGGAGCTGAGAAGGCTGAGCCCCAAATTCCGGCACAATTCCTTGAGCCCGGAAGCTGCACCCGACCATGTTCATTCGAGTCGAGGTGCCGTGCTTCACCACCTGCCCGTCCGAGTGCGACCCCCATCTGGATGCAGCGCAAAGCCAACCACAGGCGAAGATCCACGTGCAACTGCATGTCGTCAATCCCAACCCAACCCGTATTTGCCAGCATCTGACTGTTTTCGGCTTGCCTTCGGATGGACCTGCGCAGATGTTGTGGCATCAAGCTGATAGACAGTCCCGAATTTGATTTCAACCTCGAAATCTCCTGGTGCTTCGGGTGGGGCTGCAAACCTATCCTCAAGACGGTGGTATCTGCCAAGGTACAAGGGCACGAAGGCGGGCTGCATTTTTCGCAATGCATGTAGTAGCAGTTCAAAACGTGAGTCTCAGAGAACATGGATCCAGATACCGTAACCTTACCGAACCAGATACCGTAACCTTAACGAAAAAAAGGGTGAATTTGCGACCTCCACCATCAAGATGTAAGTGAGTATCGAGGGCCTGACACCATTAAGGCTTTTTGCACGGTTTTTTGCAATACACATATGTATACTAATGTATACAGGAACTACAGATATTTAGGCACGAGCTTACCTATAGATAGAAAGAAAGATAGATAGATAGTTATTTGTGTATATGCATATACGTATGTAGGTATGTATATATATATATATACATAGGTATCATATGTCTACGTGTGTAAGTACACATACAGCCGAATTTGAAGTTGACACTCGTCCAGAAGTCTTGTTCATGCTAGTGGCGCATGGTCGATTATGCCAACTCGACAGTGAAGATTCGGCTTAGTCGCTCAAGCCAGGTGTGCTCTTTGGCTGGGCACTAGGTCACTAGGTTGCTCGCAAGTTGCTCGACTCGTGCTTCCTTCCTCGCACTTAATCTGCTCTCAGCCACTAAAGTCACTAAAGTGCTAGTAGCCAGCAAGAAAAGCTGGTGGAGTGGGCAGGACGCTTTGAGCATGCGGCAGAAGCTGCGTGCTGATGCAGAGGCTCATCGCGTTCCCGTGTTACCTTGTTTTGGAATGAAATGAGACGAGCTCGGCTTTCGCTGCTCTGACTGCTAGCCGGCAACTTGACACGAAGCTGAATGACAAATGCGCGGCTGTGGACAAAGTCAATGGAAGGCAGCTGAGCTGGAGGCATCCAACGACCGTCCCGAGCTTTGCAAACCGGGGCACGGTCTCGGAAAGGTCAGGATTGAGGAACGCTCCAGAGTTTATAGCACCCGAACTTCAAAGAGCAAAGTAGTTCCGTTTCTTGTGCCTTTGCTAGCGAAAAGCTTCCAAGGCTGGCACTGCTGCATATGGCCCAAGCCCGGAACGCTGCGGGCTTCATCCGCTTAGCGAATCTTCCGACCCGGGACAGCCTACATAGTGCAGTAAGCCAGACGGGAGTCTTAATGTTAGTGCTCCCGAGACTTCGCACATAGATCAGCCCGGAACCTTGCATGCATTCTTTCTTTAAGGACAGCATGATCGTACATTCCGTTTCGGACCTTGAAGCAACCTGCGAAACTGTTCCGAAGCGGTCTTTCCGTGCTTCTTGCCTAACTGGCACCTCGCAGATGGGATGAAGCCGGAAGTTGATCTTGAACGCAAAGGCCGAGTGAGGGCTCTGCTGCAAGCAGAAAGAGCTAAGAGCAGTTGTCGAGTTGTCGTCAAGATCCCCCTCATATCCCCCTCATCGCAGTGATGATAACCGTCATCGTTATGACCATCATCACCATCATGATCTCGATCGTCACCATATCCTCCGCCTCCTCTTCACCGTCACAATCCACCATCGCCATCATCATCACCATCACCAGGATCATGGTCATTGCATCATCGTCATCATCATCAGCACCATCTCTACGGTCATGAGCAACACTACTCTGAAGATGAAGATACAGACCCAGAGAGCGACAATGATACCCTTCGAGCCTCCAAGTTCTCCTCTTCCCGCAGGGCTTTCGGACTACGGCACGACCAAACTCCCAAAATCCAAGTCTGGATGGGCGTCGGAGGCGCGCGCAGCTGGAGTCGCTTACGGCATTTGGGGAGTTTCAAGTCGTGTATAGACTCTTCTGAGATTCTGCCTGCTTCCAACCATGCTTGAAGGGAGGATTCGTGAACTTGCGTCCTCTTTGCTTGCTTTAGCACAGACCTTGATCTGGCGGGAAGCCCTGTCGATCTTAAAGACGAGATGACATGGCAGAATGGTAGTGTCCACGGGCACAAGTCGAATCTGACATTGAAGTTAAAGTTCTGTGGCAGCGAATATGCCGCTGTTCGCTGATTGTTGAAACCAGCGATGTGCTGCGAACCGTGCCGTTCCAGTAGTCCGCTTGGTTCGGTCTTGCAGCAAAGTCTGGCGCAGCCGGGGCAGCGCGTCCAAATACTCTGCCCTGGAAGGAACTTTTCCTCTTGACGGGCCTCGTATGCATCATCTTCAGCACCGCATCCTGGCCTGTCAATGGAGAATTTCGATTTGAGCAGTCTAGCAACTTGAGAGCAATGCCGAGTGGATACCGGGCAGGAGGGAGAAAGTGTTTCAGATGATCTCAGATCCTGACGGTGTGCTCGTCCAGGCTCCACCTCCTTCATCAAATCCCCCCAGCTCAGATCGCTTCAACCTACTACTACTGGGCCCTGCTGCCTGCGTGGGAGGCTTTCCAGATTATACAGGTTGCTGTCGGCCTGCTTCTCTTCAGAAAAAGGTAGCACATGTTGTGCAGCAGTTTCAAACAACACTAAACCCTAAAGCATCCGGTACGGTGGAAAGCAGATCGCCGGTCGCAGGCCGATGAATCACTGGGGTGGACGAAATCCACGACGACGCTCATCAGCTGGAGTAGCACGGTGGCCGAGGCTGTACAGAGAGGTCTATAGGCTTCTATGAAGCGGGTCGAGTGGGAGAGAGGAGCAGGTTCCGGCTTATGCCGGCAATTGCCAGATAAATAAGGGTCACCGCTCAAAGGATGTAAGCATGTCAGCTGGCACCTTCAATCCTGCAGATACACATTGACTGTCACTGACTTCCTTCGCGTGCCTGGTTCGAGCGCAGGCTGTCGGACTCCTTGTGGCAGGGCCTCTCTCAGACACTCAGCTGAAGCCCTGTCAAAGGGTGTACACGGGTCACCCTTCCGTCCAGCCAAGCCGAGGACTACATTGAGCAAGAGCCTCGGGAGCCGACCTTGAATCAAGTCTTGTGGGGGTTGCAAGGCCCGCGCGGAGAGGGGCTGTTGCAATAGATGGATTCGGTGTGGCCGACAGTTTTGAATTCTTGCACTGTCAGTTGATAACGGCATCCCTTCGGTTGCCTGAGCATATGTAGTGTGCACGGTGCCGGTTCCTCTAGCTCGCTGTGCTGAGGCCTCTCCAGCTCATCCTCTTCGAGACATGCCTGGCCTTGATCGACGCTCGGATCATTGCGGGTGGATAGGCACTTGTGCTTCAAGCTCTTGCCGTAAGCCTGCGCACTCTGCGCAGCCAATGCAGAACATTGCAGAGCTGAGCTTGTGGGATGCTCCTTGCTGCACTTGCTTGTGAAGCCTTTTCGCGCAGGCTTGAGCGTTCTCTTGCAATGCGTGCTTCACGTCTCAGGGTGTGTTCGTGGGCTCCCAAATCGTGACGACTGCCGAGGGCCTCGTGGCTTTACTGCACTGCGCAATCTGAGCTTGGTCACAGCCCAGTGTAGAAAGTATCTCGGCCCTTAACCAATCGGATGTGGAGGGCGGTCCTGATCTGTGCAAGACGATCAATTATTATAACTATGCAACAAGCTTGAGCTCGCTGCATCTGCTTCGACGAGGCAAGGTGCCTCGTGCCACGCCCATGCTAGCCGACATCCCATTTTAGATTTAAGCAGCTGAGTTGCGTGCAGACAGGCACGGACCGGCACGGAGACTCGCAATATGTTGCAAACCGGAATGCTCCATGACAGTCCAGGTGCTGAACGTGTTCATCGTTGCCTTCTTCAAAGGCCCTGTTCAGACGTGTGACACCTTGTCCCTGTCCGTGTGAGTTTGATTGCTGCTGCACGCTGCCCTCCTGAGTCCATCCCGTGACTGTACGTCCTGTTGTAGAAACAAGAGACACAGAAGCGACATCAGACATACTGACAATGACAGAACTGATGCCAAGGAACAAGTCGCCTGACAAAGATGATCATTATCATGATGATCATGATTATGACGCTGGTGATGGTGATGATGATGATGATGGTGCTTTCCTTATTCTTCTTCTACAGCGGCTGCTGATGATCTGATGATGATGACTATGGCTAATTGGACCAGCCTGCGCCCGTGCAATGCCTCATGTCAGGAACACGCTTGAGTTACAATGGCGAATGCCACTTTGGCTCAAGGTGAGTGTGTCCCTGCACTCGTATTTTCGAAAAAACTCTCTCTATCGCTCGCCTTTGTTCGCCATGGCCGCACCAGCTACCCCCGCTGATGCTTGGACTGTTGTCGAGGAATTTGCGGCAGCAAGGGAGCTGCAAGAGATTGATGGTGCCACGGTCTTGGCGCCCGTGACGACCGATGCCAATGACGATGAGGCAGAGATCGTCGAGATGTGACCATGGACGAATGTATAGTATGCCAAGTTGGAAGAGATGCAAAAGACGGTGGCCCGCTCAGCCTGGGAGATGATGACAATGCCGCGCAGGCGGACCAGGTGATTGAGCCGCCCGACAGTGAGATCACATCCCCCCGCATCTCCGAGGACACTGAGACCGCCCTGGACGAGGAGCACTTCCGCCCGGGCTTGGGCGCAGCGACCTGCTTCACACTTCCGCTCGCAGTGAAAAGAGGGAAGTGCAATTGGTTACTCTCGGGTTTCGTTGTGCTCGTGTTTGCTGACATAGAACGATGGCGATGCTGACGACGACGACCGTGAACACAACAATCAAGAAATGGTGGTGGTGGTGGTGGCGGTGGCGGTGGTGTTTGTGGTGGTGGTGGTGGTGGTGTTGGCGTTGGCGGCGGCATGCAGTGCTGGTGCTTGCGCAGAAGTTAGCAGTATTAATGATGGTGGTAATAGAAGTAGTAGTGGTCGAAGGAGGAGGAGAAGGAGGAGGAGTAAGAGAAGCAGGAGCAGGAGGAAGAGGAGGAAGAGGAGCAGCTGCCGCACAGCAGCAGCAGTGACAGTAGTAGTTCGTAGTTGTAGTCGCCGTCGCCTTCGCAGTAGTCGCAGTTGCAGTCGTAGTAGCTGCTGCAGCAGCAGCAGGAGCAGTAGTTGCAGTGGTAGCAGTCGCAGGAGTAGTCGTAGTAATAGTTTTCGTCTTCGGGTAGTGGGAGGATGGGGAACAGTAACTGTAGTCGTAGCCGTAGTCGTCGCAGTAGCCGAAGCAGTAGCAGTAGCAGTAGCAGTAGCAGTAGCAGTAGCAGTAGCAGTAGCAGCAGCAATAGGAGGAGTAGCAGGAGTAGGAATAGCAGTGGTGGTGATAGCCATCACAATCATCCTGCCAGTGATTTTCCCGATTACGAGTACAACAACATTAGCGGTAGTCCAAATAATCGTGACCATGCTTTGCAATACTGCGCCTGCACGTTTCCTGGCTTCGAATGGCGCTTGCTGTACCTCGAGGCATCTTGTGGCCTGCAGTTGGAGCCACGGTCTTCAAAATGTGCTTTGGCATGAAAATACCTGGACAGAGGTCAAGCACGGGCCCTGCCTGCACTTTCCGAAATGCACAGTTTGGAGGCTACAGCTAATGCTCTCCACTCTGCGATTCACAAGCTCAATGACGAGACTGCAAGCGTGCACGCTTCTCCTCCCATGAGTCCGTGTGCGATATGTCTCTAAGGATCCCTCGGGCAGCTTGGTCAAATCTTGGCTTCCCTTCTCAAAGGTCGGGATGGCACCTAACGGTCTTGCGGTGTTGTCCCGGCTTCAACTCCTGTTGGGTTTGTCTGGCAGATTGTGCTTTGTACCCAGGCCCAGCTGTTGCAGAGATTTGCAGAGTCTCGGTGCATGTCCCGTGCTTCGACAGAGGAAAGGCAGGATATCTTCATCTTCTGTGGGGCGCTGGCCAGTCGATTCGCAGGACCTGAGTGCATGCAAGCTGGTCTTTGAGGCAACAACTTGCCCAGTGGATTCTTCACTAGCTGTCCCGAGCTTTAGGATCTTTTGGTGATTTTTTCATCGGCTTCCTGTTGTGGCTTGGTTTCCGAATCGTCTGGGGGCTGCGTATTCTTCGTTGAAATCGTCTCTAGGGCCATGGTCCACCGCGGCTGCACCGCATTCATAGCTCTGCATGCGGGATGGAGCCAAGGAACTGCGGAATGAGCTGGCGATCTTCCTTGCTCTTCGTGGTTGGCTGCTTGCCTCCATATACTACATACATTATATATATATATATATATACATATATATATATATAGAGTACATATTAGTATATCGTATATCGTATATATTACCAATGGTATGGTTTGGCCCATGCTCCGCGCTCGTCTTGGCGCGCGATTGTGACGTTGCGGTGCGCTTACGGGGTCAGCCAAGGTATAGATTTCACGATGGTGCTGGTGACCTTGTTCTGTCTTCAGAGGCCACGCTGGGAAGCAGGGACCCTGGGAAGATTCGGGTTTGAATGGTGAAAGACGAGTCGAAGGCAGCAGCACATGACTTTAGAATTGCAGTTCCCAGATCAGGCAATTGCTGAGAGAACTTGGTCAGGACCAGTGTGGAAAGCAACTTTGCGCTTGGACGCGATGGTGCTGCCGATCCCGATGCCTCGCCCGTTTGGACAACCAACTACAGCAACCTGGTTTGGGGTTTAGGGTTTAGGGTTTAGTGATGTCACATAGAAGTTCCAGGTCAGACCTCCATCTGCATGACAGATGTTGTCCAGCTTCGCATTTTCTCTGTGAGATATGTTAGTGCACATGTGGCATGCTCGATTGAAAGATAGCTTGGTGCTGAGGATTTCTTTACGGAGAGGGGCTCGTGCTCTCAGAAACGAAGGAGACGCGAATCCGAAACTAAAAAGACATGCGACATGTATGCTTCTCAGGCATCAAGTGGCGTCGCCTGATCTTCGACGCCGGGGGATGGATGGCCCTGCTGACGCTGGCCGGCTGGGTAGCACATGGAACATCATTACTAGAATCACTAGAACCGCTCAGCAGTGACCTACTGTGATCCACTGTATTCGGCCTTTGTTTGCGATGCAGCAGGTTGAGACGCCAGTACTGCTGGAGGTTATGGCTGAAAAGCTAACGTAGCAGTGATTCCCAGCTTGGTGATAGGAGTTCTGACAATGACGAAAGTAATGTTTAACCCGCTCCGGGCCGAGCTGATCCGATCTGTCAGGCTGGCTCGGGACAAATCTACAGCTTGCTGAGCCTCTCCGCTGCATGCCGTCCGACATTCTGCCCAACGTCTTCCATGCGCCCTGAAGCTCAAGATGGAGCCTTCCCCACTAAAAATGCAGCTCGAAATCGGCATAAGGGTAAGGTGGCAAGCGTGTTCTTGCGAGGTTATCTGGCCCTGTTGCTGAAAGAGCCGCTCGGAGGGGATTCTGGCACCTGTGCACATGAAAGTCAAGGCAGGAAGAGGAGATAGTGTGGGATGGAGTCTTTATCCGTGGGATTTTCCTTTCAAGGAAGTGTAGGGGATATCCTTGCAGCAGTCTAAAGTCCGGCTTCGCGAGTTCACCGAGCAGTATTGGACATCGGCTCATGTTGCATTTTGCGTACCTTCCTTTGTACGTACATTGTAATAAACCATAGTATATCAGTCTGGCCTCCCCTGTAATCGCGGGTTCGCAAGCTACTTCTGAGGCACTTCAACCTCAACAGCGGCCAGGCCTTCACAACCATGGCCTTAGGGCCTTGTGCTCCAAGCCGGCAGGAGCAGCATGGACCCATTCCCCTTTGCTTTTTTTTGTGAGGCCGCCATGGGGGCCTCCTCTTTGATGTTCGGCATCTTCCTGGGCCTGCTCTCAGCAGGTGACGTCGACTGGGGATTGGGCCGCCTCCGTTTGGCCAGCAGAAGCAGTACTAGTAAGTAGCAGCAGCAGGAGGACAAGTAGTAGAGGCACTGCACACCAAGATCACCATCATCTGCAGGTGCATGACATTGAGCATCCCTGCAAAGCCTTCTTCACACCAGAGGCATCCCCTCATTGTCTGCAAGGAGTCTTGCAGTTCGTGTGTCTGCAACAGCTTCTGTGGAGGCCTGGTTTCATTGTACTACGGCAAGGACGTCGGCCGCAAGTATCAGGTGTGGCAGGCACGTCGTGTCAGATACTCTGAAGTCTTGCGAGCCATCAGGGCGAATACCCTCCGCCCCAACTCTAAACACTAAACGGGGTAATGAGCACCTTCCCTGTTTCAGGGAGCGATTGGAGCCTTGGCAGCTTTGGGGTAGTCAACTGAGCAGCTGCGTCGTGGGAGCCAGAGCAAGCAATCGCACGTTCTGAGCTTCTGCCAAGTTCCGAAGTATATAATAAAGGTATAACATAATTTAGCTCAATATAATAGAACAGAATAATGCATAGCAATCATTACACAACATCGTCTAATCCTCTCACCAGCTCAGGTATCCTCTTCGCTTCACTACTTTGCCTTTTCCCAACGAAGAGCCTGCTGCTGACAGAGATCTGCCTGGCCTTCACCGGTGCCTTTGGAAGCAGCCTCTGCATCCATGGGCACTTCAACTTCACAGTAGTCCCTTCTTTCATAGAGCTGCTTACAAGGTTTGGCTCGGGCTCCAAATCTGGGTGTTAGAGGATGTTATCAGTATCCTTCGTTACGTTTCCTGTCATCATCTACATTTTGTGGGGGTTACTGCGCTGAAACACTACTGCTGCCAGCCTCAACTTTTGCTTCTACTGCTGATGCTGCTTTACGACCTACGATAACTAGCCCGACGATCAGCAGGAGTATTGGTAAGAGCAACAGTGGCGTCCCGCTGCGACGGTACAGCCCAGCACTGCCTCGAGGCATTGGAGTTGGACCTTTCTGTTATCTGCCTTACTTCGCATACAGCCAGTCCCTCAGACAGTCCTGCCGATGGGGGGGTTGGTCGCTTCTTCGTTTCTGATGCCGGAACGGCCAGGACGATGGTGATGATGTTGATGTTGACGGCAAGCATCGCAATGACACACATTGGCAATGTTGTTGTTGACGACGACGAGATCGATGATGATGATGATGATGATGAGATGATGAGATGATGAGATGATGAGATGATGAGATGATGATGATGATGATGGTGATGATGATGATGATGATGATTGCCGTGATGAGGATGAAGGTGATGGTGCTGCTGATGATGATGATGATGACGATGATGGCGATTGTGATGTCGTTGATTGTAGTGATGACGATGGCGATGCCGATGTCGATGATGATCGTGGTGAGAACTATTGAGCCGATCATGTTGCTCTCAGGATTCACTCTAGCATTCTTATTCTTTTTCTTCTTGTTATTCGTCGTCCTGTCCTCCGATGATAGTTGTGGTGGTGCGGGTGGTGGTGGTGCCAGTGCCAATGGTCGTGGCAGCCATGCTGATGGTCATTGCGGCTGTGAGTGTTCTCAGCAGGATGGTTCGGGTGGTAGCGATGGTGATGAGCGCTCAGATGTTAGTAGTTCCAGCGAGCTTGGTCTCTGTGCAATTGCGAAATCAGTGACGAGGATGCAGTACAATGCTATCGATAGTGCTCATGGGGCCTAACGATTGATGACGGAAATGATGAGAGCGCCCACAATGTCAATCTCTTCTGGTACATGAAGCCAACATCCTCTCACATTATCCTTCACAAACCGTAATTAATGCTCAAACCATAAAAACTTTTGGGTTGTTTCGAGGCTCTCTGGTGCCGAAGTCGCAGCGCGCTTTTTGCCTCGGCGTTATCGACTGCCTGGCCCAGGCGACTGCTCCGGGCTGCAAGAACATGGAAGCCGGGCGGGATCTCTAAGTTTAGACTCATGTGAGGGTGGATGTTTTTTGGTTTTGATACACCAGCTAAGCAAAGATACTGGTACCATGTTCGGAAGGCCAGACGACGCGCAGTTCTACCGATACTGTCCTCCACTGCCTTGCACGTAACTGCTCATCTCTTTGTTGCATCCAGTTAATGCGGCCTGACAGCGTGCCTCGAGCCACGACGAGGCGGTGCAGGTCATAGTGAGGGCGTACTTCGGGCAACTCCGGATTGTCCAGCCGCTCCGAGCAGGCCCCATGGCTCAGTGTTCGGGGTTCAGAGGTTTACGGGTTGCGGGAAGTGCAAACAGCGAAATTGAATTGCTTGGGCACAAGCACGACTTCCGAACTCCTCGGCAGCGCATCGTGGCTGCTGGGCCGTTGTCCTGTGCTGCGAGCATCCACGACGCACAGCTTAGCGCGACAGACATTTACTTGGGACGTCTGTGCTCGCGTAGGTTTCTTGCTTAAGATGGCCGCTGGAAGCTAGGTAGTGGCCGCCATGCCTGGGCCTTGGATTCTCCCTCGAGAATACCCAGGCACACAGAAGGCGCTATTCGCTGCATGCGAAGAGCACCTGGAGCTAAAGTTCCTGGATGGAGAATGGCGCCCTCAGGGAATGGCCCTGGTAAGGGTCGAGGAGCGCGAAGATCTGGCCCGGTCGGTGGAGTGGTTTAACGCCACAATCGTGGCCGTCTCACCTCCAGTGGTGGCTCGACGAGGGCGAAGGTTCTGCGGAGCAGAGGTTCTTCGCTTTCACAACTCTGTGCCAAGAGACCCGACACGTGTCGTGGTTCTAAGGGGCATGCAGAGGTCGAGTTCCACCTCGAGTCGCTCCGAAGCATCCCGCTGAGGGAGCTTGGAGCTCTCAGCAGCCTGCCCGGCTAGGGCAGCCGCAGTGGCTGTGGACCTTCAGTGGCAATTGGATCGTCTGGGCTTTTCAGGCTTTTTGAAGATGTGGCTGAGAAAAAGGGCCACAAGGAGGAGCAGGCCGGTGCTCATGCCTAGACGTAGAGCCCCAAGACCTGGCCAGGGATTTGTACCCTTGGCAGGTTCGAACGGATAAGCGCAACGGCCGCCGGGGCAAGTCACCTGAGCGACGTGGCCCCGTCGCGGAAGCCGAGACTGGCCTGGAGCGAGAGAGGAGAAGATGGGTGGGCAGTGATGGCCCTTGCAGTGTCTGCTCGCGACGAGGGCGCAGCAGAGAAAAGCCCCGGTCTGAGGACCAGAAGTCACGGCGAAATAACAAAAGAAGCAAAAGCAGCTCGGTAGGAGGCACACAGAGATGATTGAACTCCCGTCTCATGTTGCCTCCAAAATAGATAATCCCCCCGGGTTCATAGAAAACCTCGTCGCGTACCCTTGGTCGAGCAGCGAGGGCCTTACGAAGAGACGTAAAGAACCGCATCCTGATCATCGCCACCTTTCAAGGGGTTCCCATTGTCATGCCACTTGGGGCCCCGTGGCAGTTCAGATCAACGTTCCACTTCAGGGTTTGCTTTGGGGGTTTGCAGTGCATAGCATCTATTTCAGCTGCCGTGGTAGCTATGATAAGACAAGTACATTGCACGGGATACACATAATTATTGTATTCGTGGGGTCAGATGCATAAGTAAAGCAGTCGTGATATTGAGGTTGCAAAATGATGAGTGTACCTGTAGTTTCCTTCATGATTCCAATCGTCAACTGCATCTAGAGACTTCATTCGTTTCTTGGAATCATCATGGTTGTCAACAGGAAGATTCGCAAATGGAACAGTATAGCCGGAAGATATCCTGAACCCCAGACAATCACTCATGCTTGAAACCCTAAAACCTTAAGCTATACAAGCCCTGCCTAAGGCCTACATCGGAAGCCTCCTGAACCCCTAAATCCAGGACTGGGGAGTCGAAGCTCCATCGCCGCACCGTTTGTTGGGCTCCGAGGCCCACGTGGACTATTTTAGATAGATAGTTGAGGCAGCAAGAAACACAGCAAGCTCAACCAGCACGTGCAACAAACGTCGTTCGTCACACGCAGCTATGTCATTAGAGACAGTAACAAATCCTACAGAAGTCCGCAACATGTTTGTGGAGATGGCTGGCGAGCTGGAAGCTTCCTGGTTTGAATTGTTGAAGTGTGCGTTTGTGGTATTGATTCACAAGTGTTGTGTACTAAGGCTTTGGATGCTTTTCCCCATTTGCAGCGGTATCTCATGGCTTCTCCATATTCCGGAATGGCACAGGACCCCGGTGCAGGAGTCAAGGTTGCCCTGGGAGAGGACGGCTCCTCATCAGAATCGTCCCTTTGCGAACTCGTCTTTGCAAAAGATGCGAACGCTGCTCGCACGGGACGGGCTCGTCTTCCGCACACGGGACGGCAGGGCGATTCAAGCCACCTTCTGACCATCCTGGCGCCGGAGTTCCGGCAGAAGCTGGGGCTGACGAGCTGTGGGAGCTAAAGACCCTTTGCGAAGCCTTGGACCTCGTAGTGGAGGGGGAAACGCGGCGCGGCGCAGACATCCTCGCGCAGGGGGTGAGAGCCGTCGCTCGCCAGCTTGTTTTGGAATCACAAGTGATGCGGGCCGGCCAGAAGGCATGGTGGCAGCTTTCCAAGAGACATCTCGAAGCGGTGAACGGCCTAAGGTGCCCTGGGAAAAGGCGAGCCACTTGGAGGACCGGCCGAGGCCGGAGGCCGAGAAGCTCCTCTCCAGAGAGTCGGCGAGTTGGTCATTGCAGCCTGGCCCAAGGAAGGAGAGGCAGAAGTCGTCGACTACCTGCAGGAAGATGCCATCGCCGCGGTGCTTTAAGCGCGGGGCCGATAAGTGCACGCCACCCAAGAACAGCGGAACAAGGCGATGAAGGCGGCTTATCGTCGAGGCATGGTGGCTCCGGTGGATGAGCGTGCGATCCCGCGCGATTCTCAGGGGCACCCCATCACGAACGGGGGGTTGTGGAGAAGAGGAAGATGGGGGACGTGAAAGAGGCGCTTCATCAGCAACCTCGAAGCTTTGCCTGGGGATCAGGACTTCTTGCACTATGTGGCCCAGCTGGGGCTCCTCCTTCTTGAAGAGGGCCAGGCCCTTTTGGTGGAGTCCGAGGATCTCACCAGTGCCTTCAACTTCGATGTATGGCTGCCTTACTTCCGTTCTCTATGAAGGTCCCCGGCCACATCTTCGGCTCAAGTGAAGAGCGGGTGAGGCCAGCCTAGGGGGTCATCTCTATGGGCTGGTCGTCTGCCGTCACCCTCCTGCTGGCCATCTTCAGGAATTTGGTCTTTGCCAAAGCCGGGTTGCCTGAGGCGTTGGAGGTGGCGAAGATCAAAGAAGTACTGGCTGGAAGAGGGCATCGCCACCCCGAGCATGAGAGGTTTCTGGCATAATATTCCAATCCGTGAATCGGTTTCAACCCCAAGCTCTATATGCCTCGAACGAAACATAGGCGTCAGCATAAGGCTTTCATGGTGTCACAGTACGGTACGGGACCGAAAATCGGTCCCCCACACAAAAATTCCAGCATAGTTTCGGTTGCTTGGCTTTCCTGGGACAGTTCCTGTTGCGCTCCCGGTGCGGTGTTGGGAGCTCGTCCGCCCTGGGGACTTCCAGAATTTTACCCGTGCTGTGGCACCTGCCACAGCCACAGCGCGCTGATCCAGACCGCTGCCTCGGTCAAAACAAGAAGGGTCGCAGCCGCATGTTTTGCTTCCCACCCGCGCCCCAGCACCGCGGCGCGGGTCAGGGAGCGCACCGCGGTGCAGTTTCAGACCTGACCTTCCACCCGCGGGTGAGAAAGCTCACTTTGTGCTGGGAGCTCGTCGCTTTTCACCCGTGCTGCGGCACCTGCCACGGCGTGCTGATCCAGACGGCTGCCTCGCTCAAAAAGAGAAGTGTCGCGGCCTCTTGAGTTGACAGTTGGGTAATATGGATTCGCTAAGACGCGAAGAATGCCATCAGCAACATTGACGACAGCTTTTGCTACTGCTGTAATCAACAGCTGCCGCAGTTGTTATGGCATTGCTGCTGCTGCTGCTGCTG